TTCAGTCCTTCTGCTGGGTCTCTGCTCCCTGCGGCTTAGTGAGTGGTCTTTCCTGATGCTGTATTCAGCTATGAGTTTGCTTGTTAGTAATTCCAGTGAGAGTTTCCCTGACCCTAGGTTGTCTATCTGTGTGATGAAGGTGTCCCAGCTGGGGTCCAGGGAATTTACAATAATGCTTATCATGGTTCTCTCACTTATGACCTCCCCCCTTTGGGTCAGCTGGGCCCTGGTGGCATTTAGGGACAATAAATGCTCGCTCATTGGGGTCCCTGCTTTGAGTTTGGTGGCATAGAACTCTCTGGATAGTCTAGTGGTGCTTGCTACACTCTGGCAGTAAATAGTTTGTGCATCCTCTGTATTACCTCTAGAGCAGTCAAGTGGTGGCTAATGCTAGGGTAAATGCTGGGGGTAATGCTAGCAATAACTATATAATATGCTTTATGGTGAGTGCAATCTAATTCAAAAGTCCAGGGTTTTTCTGGGGGGTCAGTGACTAGGGATAATAGGTCTTCCTTCAGCAGGGTGACTTGGAGCTGCTGGTTCCAGTCCAGGAAATTCTCCCCATCTAGTCTTAGTTTGGGAAAGTCACTTGGCAAAGTCCCTGAATTGTAAGTTAAATTACTTACATTGTGTCGCTGTCCATGGTTCCTCACGTAAGGATACTCACAATAAGGCAGGGGAATGACTGTGGCAAGTCTGAACTGACTTGCTTCTATGTGCTTGCATCGGTATAGCTCTATGTCTCTCTCCGTTGCAGGGAGGCATTGCGCATGCGTGAAGTTCATTCCTGTCCAGCCGCCGTGGAGTGAGGAGCTCGTCTCTGCAGCTCCCAGGTGAAGGCCCCAATCTTCCGGATGGGCCTTCGGTTCTTCCTTGGTCGGCCTCGCTTGGTCGAAATCGTCGTGGATCGTCGTCTGGAGCCTCGGGAAGTGGTGAGGATCACCGGGGAAGGTCAGAAGTCCCGCTGGGGCCGTGAATGGTCCCGGATAGCCCAGCCTCGCATGGGTGTCGCCTCCGGGTGTCGGGCCGAGTCCCCTGCCCGCCGATGGATGTCCCCTGCCTGAGGATGGTCCCGTGGGCCCTGGATCTGGTCCCGGTCGTCGGTCCGGTGAGTAGTCCCATCGTCCTCGGTGCCCCGTTCCTATAGGTGGGCTCCCTGGAAGTCCTGGGTAGTGCTGGGTCTGCGCGGTGGTGATCTGCTCCCCTGGGTGGGCACCGGTGCTGGCCCTCCTCGCGTTAGGGTCCCCTTTGCACTTTGGCCTGGCACCGGGGTGTGTGTCCGGTAACTTCATTTTGTCCCCTAGGGTCGCGGTAATTAGTTCGATTGCTTTGTTGACTTCAGGCTCAGTAGGCGGACCCGTAGGTTTAGGCTTTGGGCTTTCCTGTTTGTTGTGGTAGTTTTGGGTTTCTACTTTGGAGTAGTCCCTGATTCCCGCCATGAGATTTAAATCTCGGGAATCTATTGGTGGTTGGTCGGCCATCTTTGGTGACGTCACCTCCCAAGATGGCCACCGCAAAAAGGGCGCGAATTCTCCTTCGGCCTTTTTGGTAGGTTTCTGGTGGGGGCAGTCCTTTCTTACCGCGTCTTCGTCGCTGTAGTCGGATTCGTCTTCATCTTCCTCACTCGCTGCTTCGCAGCCTTTGACCAGGCTTCGGAGTTCCGCGATGAGGTCGGTGTTGCTTTGTGACGAATCTATCAGCTTCAGAAGTTTTCCTTTTAGGTCGTGCATTTCCTCTGTCGGTCTCTCGTGTTTCTTCCACCCCTCGTGGCTAAGGTAAGGAGGGGTTATTGGGTTAGGGTGGACCTTGGGGTTTGGCTTGCCCAGCCCCCCTGCCTCTAGCCCTGGGTCAGAGGCAAGGCATTTATTCCTGACAAATAGTCATGTTCCTCTTTATCTTGAAGTCCCTTTGTGAGTCTGTCCATTTCTGCACATTCCATGATTTTACTAATTACTCTCTCTTTGCTTGGTATGTCATTACTCTTCCAATTCTGTGCAAAAATTATACGTGCTGCTGTTGTTATATGGATTATTAAGTATTTTATTTCCTTTTCATATTGTCCAGATATAATGCCTAATAGGAAGGTTTCTGGCTTCATTTCTACTCTGTGTTGTGTAATTTGTTCTATTTGTGTTCTGATCATTCGCCAGTATTGTTTGGCCTTTGGGCAGGTCCACCATGTATGATAGTAGGTTCCTTTGTGTATCTTACATTTCCAGCATGTTGGAGATGTATTGGGGAACATTCTTGCCAACCTGGCCGGGGGAAGATGCCACCTATAGAACATTTTGAGCAGGTTTTCCTTGTAGGGTACAGACATTGTCAATTTGTAATTTATTGTCCATAGTTTTTCCCTTTTATCTAATTTGATGTTGTGGCCGAAGTTCTTTGCCCAGCTTAACATGTTGTCTTTAACCACCTCCTTCTCTAATTTATATGCTCGTAGATAGTTATAAACTTTTTTTATCAATTTGTGTGGGAATGATGTGATCTCAGTTGTCGGCAAACCATGCTGCATAAGCAACATTAGCACAAAGTCCTAATCTCATCAAAGATAGGATGTCTGGCAGAGACCCTATAACAGATATACAAAGCATGGGGACCCAGCACGTAAGCATTGTTTGTCACAGAGCTTTCTTTGGCCAATCAAGTAAATGTTGATTAATGTTTTGCCATGGTAGTTGTAAAATGACAATAAAAGGGAGCCTTTTGAATGGGGTCAGGGTGCCTTGATCAAGGTGCCTTCACACCGAGGGGCCTTCCCGTGAACCATCATCCTGCCTACGCGTCTTTCTTCATCGAAACAACATCTGGCGACCCCGACATGATACCTCCTATGCTTACTCGGCTGGACGAGCTTAGGTGCACCTCAGCGAACTTCACCCCCAAAAGAAAAAATATTTCGTGAGTATGGGGGGGGGGGGGAATCTCAGTTCCGCAGAAGTTTCATGCACAAGAACTGAGAAAAATACTTAAAAGTAATAGAATGGCAGGAATTAAGTCACCATGAGCAAAAATAAAGCATTTGTTGCTGTGGCAAAAATGTAAGGAAACAGTAGAGGTTATGGGAACTCATAAACTCAAGGCACCATCACCATCTCTCTCTGTGTCTTCTGATCAGCGGTCTGTTCCCCCTCCTCTTTATTTTCAGCTAACTTTGCCGGCTCCACAGCCAGTAGAAATTAGCTCCCCGACAGCTCCCTTATCGGTTTTTCCTTTACAGGAGATGTTTTCAGCTGTCAGAGCAGGATTTGGAATTACTGAACAGCCTTTTTTAACTCCTTCACCTCCAAGTTATTCCAATGCTGTTGTCTGTCCTCCTTCCTCTTCAGAATATGTGATTCTGCCTCCTTCAGCTCCTACTGACATAGGTCAGATTGCTAAACCTTCTAACTCTGTTGTTCAGTCTTTTTTTCAAAACATGGTGAAATCCTGTAAACAGGATTCCTCCATGCCTGGGGAAGAACTTGTTGAATTGTTATCTGTACAATATCATCAGGGCCAGGGTCAATTGGCAGGACAGCAGACTGCAGAATGGGAAGGACTGCCTTATCAAAATGCCAACTGTAATCAAAATGCTGACTGTAAGCAAGCTTTGCAGCTTTTAAAAGCTATTAATCATTATACCTTGGTTGATATGCTGCGGGTTTGCCAGGATATTGGTTCTCAAACTTATAAAATGTACCTTTTAGCTGCTGTTATACAAAAAGGGCAGCGTCCTGCTGGCAATTGTTTTAAATGTGGTAATTTTACTAGAGGCTTGGTGGAAGGAATAAACCATGAATATATTTTGTTTCCTGAAGATTGGAAGCAAGTTTTTTTTAATGATTTTGACTTCAGCACAGTATGTTGTTTGGGACAGAGCTAAACAAAGTGTTTTTCCTATAGTCATGTCTCCTCCTCCAGTCTCTTATCTGCACAGCAGATAATGCTGGGCTTGATTTAATCACTCAGGAGTCTGTGGAATTTAAATTTCATTTGGAGGCTCTGGTTTAGTGGGTCTTATCTTACCTCAATCAATTGTTAAATTTTATTTGGTATATCATTGTATGGATGACATTTTAATTGGAGCTAAAAAATATAACTTAATTGGCTTTCTGAAATATAAAATGATTTATGTGTCTATGGATTGTAAATTGTCCAGAATAAATACAGCTGCACATTCCTTATCTGTATTTAGGATATTGCAGTCTTTTTCTGCTCCAGCTTTTCCTCATTTAAAGTTACCTAAAGTTATTTTTTTAGTAAATTTGCAACAATTTCTGGGAACTATTAATTGGGTCTGCTCATATTTTTTGTTACCTACGCATTTACTTAATTCATTATTTGAATTATTGACTAAAGAAAAAAAAGCCAGGAGATTTAATTATAGTTCCATCTGTAGTATGTGCTACAGTTGAGAAAATTAATAACATCTTGAGTAATTAATTTGTGGATTGAATTCCTCATAGAGATTGTCAGTTATCTCTTAATATTTCCTACTAGTAAACAACATAAAAATATTGGGAGTTTTAGAACAGCAAAAAGTATATTGTATTGAATGGCTTTATTTGCCTCATTACCATCAAAAAAATGTTTTACTCTTGTTGAAAGATATGAGAAACTCAATATAAAGCAGAAACTTAGGCAGAGTTTCAGCCCCCACCTTTATCAATGGGCCATTAAGAAGCTGAAGCCACCTTATTTTACACAACAAAGGAAGGACAAAATTACAGGGGCCAGCAACATTTAAGCAGATATGGGATACAGGAAAGAAAAGCACACACCCAAGAAGGAAAAGAAATCAAGTCAAAGTAACTAGAATTTTTAACACATGAGAAAAAGAGAAAAAACACAGAAATAGCAAGCTGAATAATTATAGGGAACGAACAACTACAAAGGGCTAGGAAAAACTGAGAGTAGACTATAAAACAATTATTTATTAAGAATTTCAAAGGACTTTAAAGAGCCACATAGAAAATCAAAAGATGTTTTAGGATATAAAAAAGGGTTACTCTTACAGTTTAAACAGGATAGCCTCGAAATGCTGTGCTTGATTTATTTCTTGCCTACTTTCCTATAAACAAGAAACTGATTCTACTCTCAAGCAGCTGTTCTTCAATCATCTTGAAGCAATCTCTCAGCCTGGACTTTTGAATTCAAGAAGGGAAAGCCCTGCCTCCCAGCAATCCTTAAAGGGAAAGGCTTCTTTTTCTTTCCAGCAATCCTTAAAGGGAAAGGCTTCTTTTTCTTTCCAGCAATCCTTAAAGGGAAAGGCTTCTTTTTCTTTCTGTCACGTGTGTTTTCAGGATTGCTGTGGCTACTTGATCAGTCACAAACAGTATGGTTTCAATCAAGCCATCTCCTGTTTGCAATTACCTGCAAGCCTTCCCCACCCTAGTTAATTGCAGGTTAACTCCCCATATAAGCAAGGACTTTTTGCTTGCTACTCGGGCCTAAACGCTGTTTAGGCCTAGATGCAGAGCTCCTGCTGGAAGCTGGATCCAGAGCTCAGTGCAACATTACAGAAGGGAGGAGAACACAGATAAGGACTCCAGACGCTGTTGCAGAGATACTCCTATGGATGCTTGCCTTTTGCTGTTTTGAAGCACGCAAGCCATCATCAGAACTGCTGCTGCTGGACATTCTTCCTCCCACAAACTTCAAGCTATGTTTGCTGATTGAAATTGTTTTTTCTTCAGGTGACTTTTTAGCTGTGAAGTTTATGCTGCCGCCCTTCTACTACCTCGATGATGTATCGACACTGAAGCTGCTTATTGTCATGTTAGCTTTTTTCTCTTGTGAACTGTTTCGGTATTGTGGAGAGGAATCTAGGAAGATAGCCTGGCTTCACATAACCAAGATAAGACTTTGTTACTAACATGCTTTTTTAAAGACATACTGCTTTTTAAATGTTTTAAAGTAAATTATATTTTTACACAAGACGCCTCTGTCAGATTTATTTCAGTCCTAGTGTGTTTGCTCATGAGCTGGTTCACAGTCCGGAGTACCCCTCAATCCCATTCATTACACTTTCCAACACTTTTATCTAAGCTACTGCTGAAATTATAACCTTGGGGCGTACTTGAGCTTGTCAAAGAAATGGAATTGACTTAATAAATATCATTCTATCTCAAAACCTGACTTTCACTTTTATTTTCAGAATAATTTATTTCTTCAGTGTGCTTTAACTGACTATGTAGGATATATTTCATATCATCTGCCTACAGATCCTAGGTTTATTTGCTTAATGATTTCCTCCTTTCCTATTCATCCATTGTTTTTCTTCTCCACTATCGCAAGCTCTTTGCTTTTCTGATGGGGGAGGAAGGAGAGGAGTGATTGCTTACAAAGATCCTCATGACGACATCTGGAAAGTTTACTCTCAATGTTTATTTTTATTTATTTTATTTATTTGTTTCCATTTCTATACCACCCTTCTCCAATAGGACTCAGGGCGGTGAACAGCCAGAGTAAAAACAGAACATACAAAATTTAAAAGCAGTTTAAAATGATTAAATATTTTTGGCCATAATTTAAAAACAACCCAATTTAAAATCAGTTTAAAATTTAACTCAAGCCAGCCCAGCTAGTTGAAATAAATAAGTTTTCAGGGCCCAACGAAAAATCTGGAGGTCTGTTATTGTATGTATCTCTGGGGGGAGGTTGTTCCAGAGGGTGGGCACCGCCACAGAGAAGGCTCTCCCCCTGGGGGTCGCCAGCCGACATTGTCTGGCGGACGGCACCCTGAGGAGGCCCACTCTGCGAGCGTACTGGCCAGTGGGAGGCTATTGGTGGCAGAAGGCGGTCTTGTAAATACCCCGGCCCTAAGCCATGGAGTGCTTTAAAGGTGGTCACCAACACCTTGAAGCGCACCCAGAAGACCACTGGGAGCCAGTGCAGCTCGCGCAGGAGAGGTGTCACATGGGAGCGCCCCGTCACCCCCATAATCCCCCGCGCGGCCGCGTTCTGGACCAGCTGGAGCCTACGGGTGCACCCCAGGGGTAGCCCCATGTAGAGAGCCTTGCAGTAGTCCAGGCGGGAAGTGACGAGTGCCTGAGTGACTGTGTGTAGGGAGTCCTGATCTAGAAAGGGGTGCAACTGGCGTATCAGCTGAACCTGATAAAAAGCCCCCCTGGCCATGGCCGTCAAATGATCTTCTAAAGACAGCCGTGCGTCCAGGAGGACGCCCAAGTTACGAGCCCTCTCTGTGGGGGCGAGTGATTTGCCCCCAATAGCCAGTGATGGCGTCAGCTGGCTATATCGGGACGCCGGAAGCCACAGCCACTCGGTCTTGGAGGGGTTGAGTCAGAGCCTGTTTCTCCCCATCCAGGCCCGCACGGCCTCCAGCACTGGGACATCACTTCAAGGGCATCGTTGGGGTGGCCTGGGGTTGAGATGTACAGCTGGGTGTCATCAGTGTACTGATGGAACTCCACCCTGAAGCCACGGATGATCTCACCCAACGGCTTTACATAAATGTTGAACAGAAGGGGCGAGAGGACCGACCCTTGTGGCACCCAACAAGCAAGGTGCCTCGGGGTCGACCGCTGCCCCCCTGTCAACACAGATTGCGGCCGGTCAGAGAGGTAGGAGGAGAACCACCACAAAATGGTGCCCCCCACCCCCAGCCCCTCCAACCGGTGCAACATGATACTATGGTCGATGGTATCAAAAGCTGCTGAGAGGTCTAACAGGACCAGGATAGAGGAGCAACCCCTATCCCGAGCCCTCCAGAGATCATCCACCAACGCGACCAATGCCGTTTCCATGCTGTGCCCAGGCCGGAAGCCGGACTGGAGCGGGTCTAGATAGACAGCTTCATCCAGGTACTGGGGAAGCTGCTGCGCTACCACACTCTCAACAACCTTCGCAACGAAGCGAAGGTTGTAGACTGGACGATAGTTAGCCAAAACAGCCGGATCCAGAGAGGGCTTCTTGAGGAGGGGCCTCACAACCGCTTCTTTCAAAGCAGCCGGCAGGACCCCCTCGCTCAAAGAAGCGTTAACAATCTTCAGGAGCCAGCCTCATGTCACCTCCCGGGAAGCCAGTACCAACCAGGAGGGACACGGGTCCAATAAACATGTGGTCGCATTCAGCCGTCCCAGGACCCTGTCCATGTCCTCGGGAGCCACAGGATCGAACCCCTCCCAGATAACGCTCTCAAGACCTGCCTCAGTCATCCTGTCCGGACATACCCAGTCAGAGGCCAGCCCTTCCCGAATCTGAGTGATTTTGTCATACAGATACTGCACAAAATCCTCAGCTGGGCCCTGCAAGGGGTCATCCCACACTTCCAGATGGAGGAGGGAGCGGGTCACCCTAAACAGGGCAGCCGGGTGATTATCTGATGATGCGATAAGAGCGGCAAAATAGCTAGATTTCACCGCTTTTATTGCCACTAGGTAGGTCTTAATATGAGACCTCACCAGTGTTCGGTCGGATTCGGAGCGGCTGGTCCTCCAACTACTCTCCAGGCATCTTTTCCAGCGCTTCATCCCCCTCAGCTCCTCGGAGAACCAAGGAGCTAGGTGAGTTCAGTGCTGGGTCAGAGGCCGCAAAGGCATGACACGGTCCAAAGCCCTGGCGGCCGCACTATCCCAGGCAGCCACCAGGTCTTCAGCCGAGTCATGAGCCAGAGTCTCAGGAAATGGCCCAAGCTCCATCTGGAACCTATCAGGGTCCATCAGGCGCCTGGGGCAGAACCACCTGGTCGGTCCCACCTCCCTGCAGCGGGGTGCAGCGGTTAGAAAGTCCAGTCGAAGGAGCGAGTGGTCAGACCATGACAAGGGTTCGATGGCTATATCCCCTATATCAAGGCCACTCAACCACTGACCAGAGACAAAAACTAAGTCCAGAGTGTGTCCATCTGTGTGAGTGGGGTCATGAATTAACTGAGTAAGGTCCATGGCCGTCATGGAAGCCATGAACTCTCAAGCCACCTCAGACGTTTCACCGATAGATGGCAGGTTGAAATCCCCCATGATAGCGGCTTCCGGTTTCCTTGTCTTCGGCGACGGCGGCGCTCTTTGAAGCTCCGCCAGCCCCGCCGCCTGTAGAGCCGCTTCGCGATCGAGAAGCGGCTCGAAAACTTCAAAATCCTGAGGATTGTTGGAGGAGAGATAGCAGGGCACAGGTCGAGCCCCTGTAACCCCCCAGGGAATCGTTTCTGGGGAGGAAACAGGCGCGGCTCCCTTCCAACCTGCTGAGACTCCGGGCGGCGTGGGACGATTCTGCTCCTGCAGAACAAGCCGGCTGCAGGAAACTTAAAGCGAAAGAACCAGCTTTAATAAACAGCGAAACTACCTGAATCCTGAAATTTGGAAACGCAAGTATTAGCACTTTGTTGACTTTTCAATCTGAGACAATGCGAATGAGTGAAAGTGCTTTGAAAAAACATGGCGCCTAGCTTCAGAGTTAACGAGCCAGCGAGTGTGGATTGGTGAAGTTATTTTGTTTTGCTACAAAGTTTCCAAGTTGCTACTAAGCTGCCTTGCTTGTTATAAGAGAAATAACTGGGAAATTTTTTCCCTTTTCAATATTGGACTTTGCTTTATTTTAACCCTTGTTTGATCAAATCTGGGGGACTTTTTTAGAAGTCTTTGTGCAGGAGGGAAAGGAAAAGGAACTTCCCTCTTTAGAAAAACTAGATCACGAGCCAGGATGGCTTCAAAGAAGCAGGAAGGGAAGGCATTAGGGGGGGATCCCCCACACACAAACAGCAAACGCAACTTCCCCCTGCTCAACAGCTACAAACTCAGAAAAAAGAATTTGATGTGGGAGATTTAAAAGAATTTATTTCTAAAACTCTGGATGACAAATTTCAAAAATGTCAACAGGAGATAGATGATAAATTTCAAAAATCACATCAGGAACTTATGCAGGAAATTAATGAAGTCAAAGACATGGTGAAACAGAATCAAAATAAGGTGACCAAAAAAATATCAGAAGTGGCGTCTGGCCTGGCAGAATTTATTGGGAAAGTTGATTATAAAGTTGAAGAATTCAAATCAGAAGTTAATGTCAAGATGAAAGACAATGATTATAAAATTGATGAAGTTGATAATAAAATGCAGAGAATTGATGATGAGATTGTTATGATACAATTCCGGGCGATGGAATTCGCCATACGGCTTC